TCTATCTATCTATCTATCTATCTATCTATCTATCTATCTCTGTAGTTGAAGGGTTCCACGAAGCTGCTCTCAATTATTGGGCTACTCAACAATCTTGATACATAAATATCTTGATTACATAATTTCCAAGTACCATTCTGATAGTACATTTAATCACATTTCCCTTAAATCCGACTAAATTCACACCATTGCTGCATTTTTAAAAATATTATATATTATATAATAACATATTTTCATTCACATGACACCAGACTTAAAAGTACAGTTACATTCAAGAATGATGTAAATTATACAGTTTATTGTATGTTATGTTAATGTATGTTAACATATGTATGTGAAATTATAAATTTGAACCCTTTCTCGTGAACTTTTCTTTTGATTTTTTTTTAAAATTCTGTGTAACAGTGATGATATTTGACATTTAAACTTAAAAGTCTCCCCACTGACTGACCACATAATAACAAATGTTCCAAAACTGTCTCAGTTCCTGGTCATTTTATCTAAAGGCCACAGAGCGCAGGGGAATCCTCAAAGTCACATACAAATTCATACATGAGTAAACCCCCTTCTCTTACCACATAGCAGTTGTCAGTAGCGTCTCACCCACACACTAACTTGCTATCTTGTGAAAAAGGGGAGAGTTTCAGAACGCTACAGAAGACCTGGCTATTTCTGATTTAGAGATATAAACAGATACAAACCACTGTTTTACACCTGTAAGCTATTTATTACACTTAGGTTTAGAATTTCATTTCCCGCAATGCCTATATTTATTTTTTCTCTCAAGTAAGCAACAGACTATTTATGTTACTTTCATTCTCCTGCACTCTTTACATGACACTGAGGTGGAGTTTTATGCCATCTATATATGGACAAAATAACGTCCAAGTATTAGGGATCAGGGATAGAATTAGTCCCACAAGTTGGTCAACATTTAAAAATATACTGAAGAGAAAAACTCACTGGCAACTTTGTTGCGTACACCTGCTTGTTGACACAAATTCAGTGAAACTCATTGCATTTAAGCTTATAGACATAGTAAAGTTGACCTGCTGAAGTTCAAACTGAGCATCATAATTTGGAAGAAAGGTGATTTAAGTGAGTTTGACTGTAGCATGGTTGTTGGTTCCAGGGACGGTGCTCTAAAATTTCAGAAACTATTGGGATTTCCCACACAACCATCTTTAGTTTTTACCGAGAATGGTCTGAAACACACAAAATATCCTGGGGGAAGTAGTTTTCTAGCTGTACTGAGCTGATAGCAAGGCAACAGAAACTGAAATAACCACTTTTTATAGCCAAAGTGTGTAGACAAACATCTCTAAATGTACAACACTTTGAACCTTGAAACAGATGGGCAACAGCAGCAGAAGACTACACTGGGTGCCACTTGTGTCAGCTAAGAATGACAAACTGAATTCAGCTAGCACAGGCTTACCAACATTGGACAATAGAAGACTGGAAAATAGTTGCCTTGTCTCATGAGTCTTAATTTCTGCCGCCACATTCAGATAGTAGGGTCAGAATTTGGTCTAAACAATATGAAAACATGACTCCATCCTGCCTTAAAGCACACTTCAAGCTGAGTCGTTCCAAAAATGTGAAGTCAGCAGGCTGTTTGCCAACAATTGGCCAATCAATGGCGCCATTCAATGAGTCATTAGAGCGACTCCTTCACAAAAATCAAAAATAGGATTTTTGAAATGAGGGAAATGGCTACACAAAACCAACACCGTGGTCCATGAGTTTGATAAAAAGAAATAGACCGAACAGCAGGTAAACCATCGCCTCAGCGTCCTCCTTTGTTGTGTTCTGTTTGTGTCACATACAAATGACGTCACAGATTTTCAGACTCGTTGCTATAACGACCCCGTGCACATTAGGTGGTACTCAATGGAAATCAAGTAGCGTGGAACTGAGCCAAGCCGAGTATGTACTGGTGGAAAAGAGGCTTTAGAGCCAACTGGCCACAGTTTTAATGTCACAGCCTACCTGAGTACTGTTGCTGACTATGTCCATCCTTTTATGACGAGATAACATTCATGGCTCAAATCATCTTGAGTTCACTGCACTTAAATGGCCTCCACAGTCACCAGATCTCAGTCCATGAAGCTCCTTTGGGATGTGGTGGATTGTTGGTTGTTTATCCAACAAAAGAGCAGCAACTCAATGAAAATATTATGTCAGGATGGACCAGAATCTCTAAAAATGTTGCCAGCACCTTGTTGAATTTATGTCATGAACAATAAAGGTGGTTTTGAAGTCCAACCATGTACTAGCAATCCATTCCTAATCAAAGTGTCCACTGAGTTGAGATTTAGTTTTATAGCCAATGAACTCATGAGCAATACAGGGGACTTTAAAGAAGTTTCAACCAAAAGGTGCTGTTTTAAAAAATAATAACAATTTGTTTTACAAAGGTTGCAGGAAAACAACTGAAAAAATTATTTAGCCGCTGCTATGCAGTAATATTCATAAGTCTAAAACAGAAAGCTAAAAACGAACAAACTAGAGAACTGTTTTGTGATTAGTGACAATGATAAAGCAGATACTACTAACTAATCTTTGTCTTGAACAAGGAAAACAAACTATAAATGAGCCTTTCCAAAAGTT